AGATTGTTGTATTTTGTCCCCCACTGAAGCTGCGTTTTCTTTTTGTCAGATTTCTCACTTTCTTCTTTATTGTATTTTGATCAGTGCAGCCATGGAGGTCTGGGTTTTACTGGGAGCTTTTTATCTTTGGGGCAGTGGCCCTCACGGCCTGGGTCTTCTGGCCAATGCTGGGCCCTGCCTCAGGCCCCTGAAGCAGGACTTTCCCACCAGGGTGAGGGAGGGTCCAGGGATTCTCTAGCCTAGTGGTTCTCAAAATTAAGCATGCCTCAGAAGCACCTGGAAGCCTTGTTAAAACGCAGATGGCTAGGCCCCTCCCCTAACGGTTCTGATTCAGTGAGTCTGGGGTGAGGCCTGAGAATTTGCATTTCTAACTAGCTCCCACATACTGCTGGTGCTGCTGGCCCAGAGATCAGACTTGGAAAACCACTGCTTTAGAGTAATTCCTCCTTTACCTTGAGCCAGAGTGTGCAGGGCCCAAGGAAGGAAAGAACAGCAGGGTACCAGGTTTCTCCTTCTCCATGCTGGGTCCAGCTCTCAGAAACACGATGGAGGATGTTGCCAGGGCATCATAATAGTAAACACCTGTACAGCGATTTCACCTGCCCTGTCTCACTCGATACTCACAGCAGGTCCCTTGGTGAAGTAGCACAGCTTCTTGACAAATAACAGAAGTCAAATTGAGATAAGTTAAGGCCTCCTTCCTGGCCATTAGGCTAGTAATTTGTGGTGTGTCCCCAGTGGAATCCAGTTTTCTTAGCTCCTATTCTCGAACTTTCATGACTCTGCTACTTATTAGCTATATGACCTTGGGAAAATTACTTAGCTTTCTATGACTCAGTTTGTTGATGAGCAAAATGGGAGTAATGGTGTCTGCCTCATAGAGTTGTCATGAGGATGGCATGAGTTAATGCTTGAAAAGCACTTGAGAGCTATCAAATGGTGGCCTCCAGAATCCCCTCCTCTCATGCAATGAGGGGCTGCGGGTTTTTTGTTTTGTTTGTTTTTGGCATTTCTGTCACAAGAGGCGCAAGAAGATGTACTACTGCCCACCAGACAGCCTTACCCGGCCATCAGGACAGGGCTCAGTCACTTTGGAAAGTCACTCCCCCCCTACCGAGGGAAATGGCCTGAGGAAGCCTGGTGGGTGGCATCTGCCGAGGATGGAGCAGTAGCTGAGGGGCTGGGTCAGTGTGTGAAGCCTAAGACCAGGAGGAGGGGTACCAGGAGAGCAAGGCGGCCGGGTCGTCCACTCTTCAGGAGCTGCAGTGATCCCGTTCCTTTCACTGCCCAGCCCTGGGTGGTGGCCCTTAGAGGATTAGTTTGGAGGAAAGCTAAGGCTAAGTCTGCCATTTTGGTGGTTTTCTCTTCCTGCCTTGCCCCCACCTTCTGACTTGGGACATTTACAGCAGTAACGGGGGTTTGAGTAGAAGCCTAGTCTTGATTGTGCTAGTGATATTGAACCTGTTGAAAATTACATGCCGGGTACTGTTACATTCAGTATCTCGTTTAATCCTCACGAGCCTCATGAAGTAACCCTCATTTGACAGAGGAAGCTGGGTCCTCATCTGTATAAGTAGGGTGACCACATAATTTATGGGGCACAAATTATGAGAGGCAGGTTAATTGACCTGTCTTAAGGGTTGTACAGAAAGAAGTCCAGGATTCAAAGTCAAATCTGTGTGGCTCCAGAGCCCTTGGTCTTTGCTAAGCTGCCCTGACACTGCCCTCTGGAGTGCTGTTATTCCCTCCGTGGGTGCCTAGCATTGGCCTGTTCCCAGGATCTCCTGCCCCTCAGCTCAAGGTCCAGGTTCCGGGGCCATGAAAGCGCTTTATTCACCTTTGTATCTTCCATAGAACTTAACACAAAGCCTTATACAGAGAGTGACCATATGTTCTGTTTATGCTTCTTGTCCCAGTGCAGTAATTAATGGTGCCTCTTTCTTAAAAGTGTCCCAGTTTGGACAATAAATTATGTGGTCACCCTACTTATACAGCGTCCTCCCAACCCAGGGACAATGGCATTTTAATAGAGGACCCTGAAAGACAGAATTGTCTTTAAGACTCAAAGAAGTAAATCCCAGATGGTGAAATTTTAAGCGTTTATATCCCAGTAGGCAAGAGAATGTAGACAAAGATTCTGCTCAGCACCCCACAAACCTACCACAAAGGACTATTTCTAACACCCGACTTGAGGGTTGTGGGGGTCACCAGGCCTGTGATGAGATTTGAAGGGGCAGGAGTCCCACTGTGGCTCATGCAAGTGTCTGACAAGCAAGGCCAGAAAAGGGGAGGGAGAGCAAAAAGCTGTTGCTTCCACACCTCCCCAGGCAAGAGGGGAGCCCCTGCCTAGCATTTGATTGTTCTCAAGCCCCCAGCCTCCCTGCAGGAAAGAGCTAATGGGGATTTGCCCTCTTCCCAGCGTCACCCTCAGCCCCTGGTGGGCCCCTGGGCTCAGCTTCCCCATGCTTTCTTGTGGGGCTTTGTTCCCTCAGGCCCTGCTCTTGTACCCTGGACATTGGTCCATACTCAGCCATGGCGTGTGCAAGTCACATTCCAGGCTGTGTCCTTGCCCCATTTGCAGGCAGCTGAAAACTGCTGTGCATATGTCAGTTCACACTTGAACTGGTTTAATGTTTTTTTCTTTTAAGTTGCAATCTAAAATTCAGCCAGACAGGCTTTAACGAGCACTAAATTGTCAAGCCTTTTGTTTCCCTTGCTATTCAAGCCATAGAGATTTTGTGTTTGATTCAGCAACAATTGCTGAATCTTAAACAAACCATTTACATTTTGACATTAACTATTTTATGAGTGTAACTTTTTCTTTAGCATTAGAATGATTCCAGCAGAAGGCCTTTTAATGATTTATCAGAAATAGAGTTAAAAGAGTCTGTGGAAGGTGATTCTTAACATTTTCTTTTGGGGAAAAAAAAGTAGGTTTTCATCTGCCTTCAGTTGGGCAGTACATACAGAAGTTTAGCCTTCCTCCTCCTATTTTAATAACTTTTGATCTTGTCAAGGTCATTCTTCCAGCATGCCCTCTTGCTTAGCTCCTCCATTTTTCAGACAACCCTCGCACCCAGTGGCTTCTCTCAGAGTGACTCTCTGCGCATCTCTGTCGGCTGTTAATTTCTTCTGATAGAGACGGGAACTATGTTCTTTCTTTGCTCTAGCGCTGGTACTCTTAGCTGAGGCCCCTGTGCACACTGGGCGTGATCAGTATTTGTCAACCAGCTGACTGGACAAAGAGCCTCAGACAAATAGCATGTTCACAAACGAAGCCATCCATCATTCTGTCCCTTGAAGCTGTAAGTAATTGGAACTTTTCTCCAGTTCTTAAAGATGTCCACAGAATGGGAAGTCTCCACTTTCCTTTAGGTTCCCATTGGAGCATCTGGTGAGTCAGGTCAAAGGGCCTTGAGCAAGGTCAGGCGTCCCAGTGTTGCTCCTGCATTAGGGGAAGCTCTGTATTTTTCTCAGCTTCCAGTGAGACCTGGTGAACCCTGCACCTGGCTGAGGAGTCAGTGGATCTGCCCAGTTTCCTTCTCTGTAACAGTGTGAGCCAAGTGACCAGGCCCAGGAAACCCATGCTGTGGGGGGCCTGAGACTCCGTGTGAAGTGGAGCTGGCTGAGGAGGCCATGTTGATCCGCCCCCATGGAAAACCGGGAGCCGGGGTGCTGCACTTGCCTCTCAGAACTAGAACTAATTGTTCTTAAAGATCTTTCCAAATACCAATGATGCAAAATACTTGGATGGTTCACCATATTGTTCACCATATTTAAACTGTCAGAACCTTAAATATCTGAGCAAAACCTCAGCAAACAAAGGATATTTTGGGGACTTGTTATGTATGTTGCGCAGCAGAGAGATTTGTAGTCTATACGACTTCCAAATCCTGTAAACGAAGTATTTCAGTGTTGTCATTTTCAGCTATAGACCGTCCTACGATCATTGCCTTTTCTTTTGCTATTAAGAGATGGCTCATTCATAAACATTTCTACAGTTGTGTGGCAAACGCAAAATAGGCCCTGCATGATTCCACTGGCTCTGATTGAGGAGATGATTTTTCACACAGTGAGATTTATCACATTTATCAAGTTTATGACAGAACACAAGGAGGGTGAGGGATGTGGAGGTTGGAGGGAGAGCAGATCTGAGTGAGGAGGGAAGCTCTTTCCTGAGCCTCAAAGGGCCGGTTGACAAGGTGTGTTGCCTATAAGCTTGGAGCAAGGATTGTCTGGGCCATTGCCTTGGATCCCCTCTTCCCCTGCGGGGTCTGGCCTCCTCTGCTGTCCCCCAGCTACGAGACATGGGGATAGTTGTACCACCAACTGGTTTAGAAGACCTAAAATAACATCCTCTGCGTTCTCTAATAAAGTTGATAAATCTCAGTGTGTGAAAAATCTCCCATATGTTTTAGCCTAAATTTTCTTCTGCTTAACCTTGTTACTCCTGCCTTGCCTCCCTCAGACTGCCTGAGACAATTACTCAGGGACATTCTTTGAATAATTAGAGGCTGCAGATAATTCTCTTTAGCCCGCTTTCTTCCATTTTCCCTACCCTGTGGTCTCCCTTTAGCCAGTTCTAATTAGCTGCTTTGATCCTTCCTCCCAGTCTCTCCCTCTAGCTTGTTAATTACGTTTCTCCCCCATGAATTCCTTCTGTACTGGCTTTGTCTATCCAGTCAGAGGAGCTGAGAATGAGAATCTAAGGCCACTCAGTGGGAGGTCTTCTTTGTCCCCCAAAACAGATAGCTCCTCTCCCTTCTGAGAAGCCTGAAAACCCTGGCATTCTGTCTTAGCAGAAAAGTACAAATAATAGTTTTTGTTAAATGGCATACTATGATAAAACAGCTGTTATCCTAATGCTTGGCATTTGCCGGGAACTCTGTGTGTGTTTACGTATATAAAATCACATTTCATCCCCTACCAATCCCATTATTGTTATTAATCCCGGTTTTACAAATGCAGAAACTGAGGCCCAGAGAGGCTTAGTAACTTACCTCAGTCACGCAGCTGAAAACACTAGAATCTCAGACTTGCTTGTAGGTCTCTCTGACTCCAGAGCCGCACTTAGTTTTTTGCTTTCTGGGTTTGGGCTTTTTGATGGAGAAAAAAAAAAAAAAAAGGAAAAAGTCCAGGTCATTGGCTTTTAGCCCACCAAAAATCTAACCAACCAACCACCAACCAACTGTGAGATAATTGTCACCTCTTTACCCTCGGTATAGAAGAGGCTTTCTCAATTGAAATCATAAAACTGGCACAGAAGCAAAATGGTGTGGTGCACGGGGTATCTGGGCAGTTGAAAATCTGCTTCTAGAAAAAAAAAAGAAACCAACAAATTCTTCACTTGCTTTAATTCTTCTCTTTTCTGACAGTTTTCTCTCTCAGGAGGTTAAGGAAGCAATAAGGAGAAGGGCTTCACTGAAATTATATGCTGAGCAACAACAAGGATCTGTCTGGTTAAAAAAAAAAAAAGTTTAGGGAACCCCAGCAGAAAGTGACTGTGTTTGGAGAAGCAAAAAGGGGAAGGTGAAGCTCTCTGCCTCTGAGTTTTAGGGAAAGTAAATTTCAGAGGGTCCAGGAGAAAGTAGATGTGATGTCTGAACAGGAGCTTCAAAAGGAAGGATGACTCAGAGTTTGAAAAATGAAGTGTACTTAACAGAGTCACGAGTGATTACTACAGGGAGCAGGGAGCCACCTAAAGAGACCCACATGGCTGCAGGGGGCACAGTTCGAGCTGAGATTTTGTCTAGAGATGAAAACGGGACCTGTAACCAAGAGCAAATAGAGAAGAAGGATGCAACCTCCGAGAACACTGTCAGGAGCACCAGATGGGTGAGACCTGGGAAACGCTAAGAACAGCAAAGGCGCCTGTGCCGCTACTGTTGAGAGTGAGAGGGATGGCAAAGAAGGCTTTAGGCCACCTGGTTCAGTCAGGTGATGTAGCAGATGCCAGAGAGGGTATCTCTGTCCTTGCTCTCATTCTGTTTGCCTCTGCCTTCTCTCTCAAGGAGAATGGCCTTCCTGCAGAAAGTAAAACAAACATAGAGTTAAGTGGAACTTGAGACCAGGAGTGTACAAAAAGTATAATGAGCCACTGGCTTCTCCAGATTAGACAGGGTCTGAAAAATTAAATGCCAAACAGAAACTTAGGGACATCATCATCAAACTGTGTGCAGGAATCTTTATGGCATTATAGGGATTGGGAGAGGGGCAAGGAGACACAATGGGCAACTGTTCTGGTTTTCAAAATAACAGAGCAAGTTTTTGAGATGTGACTTAAGAGTATTTTTAAAGAAAAGAGGTCATTTCTTAGAGTTAGTGTGAGTTCCATAAAACCAGGTCTTGCTGGACTAGTTTAATGCTTAAATTCTCCCTCCCCTCTCCCTCCATATAGAAAAGTTTAACACATTCTCCTTGATGAATTATTGAAAGTGGACACACCCATGTAACCACCACCCAGATCCAGAAATGTAACATTACCAGTACCCCAGAGGACTCTCTCAAGTTCCCTCCCAATTCTAATTTTCTTTTTCAGAAGATTTGCCAGGCTGGTAGATTAGGTCAGTATAATAGACACAGAGGAAGTCTGCATTTCAGGAAATCATTTGACAGAATCTGATAATAATCTAATAGATCAGATAGAGAAATGATGATAAAGACGTAGATTTGAGGCTGGGTGCCATGGCTTGTGCCTGTAATCCCAGCACTTGGGAGGTCGAGGCGGGCAGATCACTTGAGGCCAGGAGTTCGAGACCAGCCTGGCCAACATGGCAAAACTCTGTCTCTACTGAAAATACAAAACACACACACAGACACACACACACACACACACAAAACTGGGCGTGGTGGTGAGCGTCGTGATGTGTGCCTGTAGTCCCAGCTATATGGTAGGCTGAGGCTCTGGGAGGCAGAGTTTGCAATGAGCTTAGATTGCATCACTGCACTCCAGCCTGGGTGACAGAGTGAGGTGAGACTCTGAATCAAAAAAAGAAAAAAAAAAAGATGTAGATTTGTAGCAGCTTGAACAATCAGACTTAATCAATGTTTATTTAGAAATGGTTCAGTGTCAACAGAGCCTTCACTGTAGTGATGTGCCAAAGAGCTCGTGGCAGACTCTGTCCTGTCTAACCTGCATTCTGGTTCTCATGTGAAGACGTGGGAACAGATGGCAGTGATCAGGAAGAGATAACCATGTGAGATACATGACAGTGAGGATCCAACAGAATAGTGACAGGCTGGGAGGAAGGGTCTAGGTAGCCAAATGGCATTTTAAATTTTATTGTTATTAAACTTCTAATTTATAAGTAATTCAGATTCCTTGTTTAAAACAAAAATCTCACCACCCAGCAATAAATATATGGTGTCGTATCACCCATACCATTTGTAATTTGCTTTGTGCCTCCTGACAATATTTATTCTTTAGTAAGAATAAAATCGAAGCCCTGTGCTTGGGTTCAGAGCCATGTTGGGGATCCCCGGCTCATCAGAAGATCATGTGAGCAGCCTTTAGGGATTTGACCTAGGTAGGCCACTGTAAGCTCTGTGAGGCTGCTACCAAAAACCTAGAGATGGCCTGAGGCATTAGGGGCAGAATGGCCCTGGGGCAGAGGCAGCCAGGCCCACTGGACTCTGGGTGGGGGGTTGTCCAGCCTGGATCCCTATGGGTAGGTTTGGGCACCACCACTGTGGGATTCGTCAGTAAGTCAACAGGGTCAGGAAAGTGGAGGGTTTCAAGAGTCACCCTGAGAATGACTGCAGAATCCCGTGAGGCCACATTGTGAGAGGGGAGCGTTCTCTGGATGGTTGGCTGCTCCCAGCTTTCAGAAGGGCTGACCCATCTGGACAGGATCAGGAAACCCTTTCTTTCTTCAAGGGTAGACTTAGGACCAGAGGGTATAAGCTTCATGATAGCAGATTTCAGCTCAGTGTCAGAATATGTTTTTCTGGCAGTTGGAGGAGTTTTAAACTAGCATAAAGCTGCCTTGTTTGATGATGTAATCTTCAAGTCCTGGGCTGCCAATTACCAGAGATGCTGTACTGGATAAAAGGTTGGGCATTGTTATCCCAAATGCTAGTCCTCAGAACATAGGAATCACATGTAGCATTTATGAAAAAATCAGGTCTTCAGAGCCACATTCTCTGAGATTATGATTTAGTATATGAAGGGAAGGGCTTGGAATCTGTATTTTCAAAAAGGGCTCCAATTGTTCCTTGGAGAAATGGCTGATTCCATGGCTGGCATAGGAAAAGAGCAATATCTTGTACAAGAACATCTTGTGCTGAAAGGTAAGAAAATATTAAAGGGTGATGGAAACATGTTAAAAAGATGCAGAAGCCAGCATGAAGAGGCCTGGTGATTAAGGATAATTTTAGCATTGAAGTAAATGATAGAAATTGATTCTATTCCATAGATTAAATAAGAATCTATTAATTCATACTGATGTCAATAAATGAATGAATGAAGAAATGGGAAAGAAGGAAAATCTCTTCTTTCAGGTAGAGTGCCAGCAAATAAAGATAGAAGCAAGAAGAATAAAGATAGGAGTTTGAAGGATAAAGATAGGAGTTTGAATATCATCATTTGACAAACATCGTGGTACAGGTTGAATATCCCTTATCAGAGATGCTTGAGACTAGAAATGTTTTGGATTTTGATTTTTTTGTTGTTGTTTTGTTTTTGGAATATTTGCATTATATACTTACCACTTGAGCATCCCTGATCCAAAAATCCAAAATCCAAAATGTTCCAGTGAACATTTCCTTTGAGCATCATGTTGATGCCCAAAAAGTTTCAGATTTTAGAGCATTTTGGATGTGAGATTTTTGGACTTATGATGCTTAACCTGGAATAATTAATCAAGAATTGTCAATGATTGCCAAAACTACTACATGAAAGTTTGATGAGGAATAGGCTGTCTTCATATCTTAAAGTGTCTCCCCACAAAATATTAATTTCAGGGGAACAAAGTATTTTTATAGTGAGAAATCTGGCAGATACCACCACAACCAAGTGTTCAAAGAAAACATCCAGTCGTGGGACTTACGGATATCACTTGCCTTCCTGTGTGATACACTGAGAAAGATACAGCACTGTATTTGTGCATTCCTGCCAAAGCCGCAGCCTCAATCTAATCATGAGAACACATCGGACAAATCCAAACTGAAAAACATTCTACCACTGGCCTGCACGTTTCATAAATGTCAGTGTCATGAAAGACAAAGACTAAGGAAGAGTTCCAGATGAAAGGAGTCCAAGGAGACAGGCTGCTGTGTACATCGTGTGGGCATAGATCGAACGTGGGATCAAAATTATTTTTCTAATAAGAATATTATTGAGAGGGCTCTGTGCAGTGGCTCACACCTATAATCCCAACACTTTAGGAAGCCGGGCCGGGAGGATTGCTTGAAGCCAGGAGTTCAAGACCAGCCTGGGCAATATTGTGAGAACCCCCACCTAAAAAAAAAAAAGTTTTTTTTTTTTAGAAAAAAGAAGGGAAGAGGGGTGGGAAGGACTATTATTGGGACAGTTGGCAGAATCTAAGTAAATATCTATAGATTATTGTGTCAGTGTGAGTTTCCTGATTTTGATCATTGTACTTTGGTTATGTTCTTAGGACATTCACACTGATATGTTTAGGGGTAAAGGGTCTTCATATCTTCAATTACCCTCAAATATTTTGGAAAAGAAAATCTGTGTAAATATTAATAGAGACAGAAAATTGTGGTAAATGTCCACAATTGGTGAATCTGGATGGGAGTTTATTTACTATTCTTGTAGCTTTTCAGTAAGTCATTTTTCTGTGTGATTACTTTTCAGTAATTTTTTTTTTTAGAGAGACGGAATCTCACTCTGTTGCCCATAGCTCACTGCAGCCTCAACCTCCTGGGCTCAAGTGATCCTCCTACCTCAGCCTCCCGAGTAGCTGGGACCATAGGCACATATGACCTTGCCCGGCTATTTTTTTTTTTTTACTTTTGCAGAGACGGGGATTTTACCACCCTGTGCAGGCTAGTTTCAAACTCCTGGACTCAAGCAGTCCTCCCGCCTTAGCCTGTCAAAGTGCCGGGATTACAGGCATAAGCCACCACACCTGGCCTATTTTCTGTAATTTTTTACATCACTAGTCTGAAATGGTTTCAGGAAATAAACTGCCCCAGGTGACTGTGATGCAGGGCTATGTTGGAGTGCTACCAGATGTCCGTCAGGAAGGTCATTTGCTGCCCCTCCCTCTGAGGTTCCCTTTATCTCCCCAAAGATGGGCAGATGATTGTGTCTCTGTGTGTGTCTTGTGTGTGTGTCTGTTTGTCAAGAGGTTCTAGAGACCCTCTTGTGAGTTGCTGTTACTGTGGTGAGGAGTGGGTGTCTCATAGTTGCTTACGTGGGCGGCTTCCAGTTAGGGGCTGTACATGAAGGGGTTAGATGATAGCTCTGCCCTTCCCCAGTGTCCAGATGGAACTCCTGAGGCCATATAGGTCCCACCACTGGAGTGATGCGCAGATCATGTGTTTTGTTATTCCTGGAAGCTTGACTTTGCAGTGGAAGATTTGTATGGTGTTTTTTTTTGTTGTTAAACTTACTCAATTCGGTAATTGTATCTTTTTTTTTTTTTTTTTTTGAGACAGAGTCTTGCTTTGTTGCCCAGACTGGAGTGCGGTGGTGTGATCTCAGCTCACTGAAACCTCTACCTCCTGAGTTCAAGCGATTCTCCTGCCTCAGCCTCCTGAGTAGCTGAGATTACAGGCGCCTGCCACCGCACCAGCTAACTTTTGTATTTTTAGTAGAGACGGGGTTTCACCATGTTGACCAGGCCGGTCTCAGACTCCTGATCTCAAGTGATGTGCCCGCCTCAGCCTCCCAAAGTGCTGGGATTGCAGGCGTGAGCCACCACTCCTGGCCAGTTGTTTGTATCTTAGCTGATTGATTCCCTAATCCCACTCATCCCTGGATGTCAGGCAAATATAGCTGTCTCTTGAACCCATCTATTTCAGGATTACACATCCTGCAAATTCTTGCTTTCCCAGATGATGGAGGCTACACATTAGGACATAAGCAAGGTGGGGCCACCAGAGGAAATCTTTCTCTCTGGGCAAGAAGGTGAGCATGCACTTCATCAGGTGAATGATTGAACCTGGCTCCATACACCCCTGAGATGTGCCCTCTGCCCTCAGTGCATGGCATCATCTCAGAGGCATTTCAGACGAAAAATGGTAGTTTTTTCCTGTCATAAGGGAATGAAAAGAGTATTTGTTGCACTGAGAAATGTCACGAGGACTCGTGAGTGAGCACATCCCTCTGCTGTGCCTCTGGTGTCCTGGTTTGGCCTGGCAGTCTCAATCACAGAAGCTCTCTTCAGTTACACCTTAGCATTTCCTTGGCCCCCATCTAACTAGTCCCCCTCATCCTTATTCCCATCCTAGAGCTCTGCCTTTCCCAGTTGTTCTCCTTTTCAGAAATTCAAACTTCCTTTTCAGCCCTTCTGGTTGACCCTGGAGCAGAATTTCCGTGCACACGCCCTGCTGGCCCTGACACCTGTGCAGTGGCCCAGGACCCCACACTCAAAAGGGCCCGAGCCTGGCTTCATGCTCTGTTCTCACTGTCTTGAAATTTCTGATGATTCTTGAACAAAAGGCCCCACGTTTTCATATTGCACTTGGGCCTGAAAATTATGTGGCTAGTCCTGAGCCCAAGGGTGGAGAAGTCAGCCCTGGCGTGTGTATTGGGCAGCAATCTCCTGGGCCCCCTGGCCGAGCTGGGCTGCCCTCCCTGTGGTCAGCTCCTTCAGTCCCCCTCCACCCAGACACATGCTCAGCTTCAGTTAGCTAAACTGTGACCTCTGACTCTTGACTGATTGCCCAAATTGCTGTCACCCTGACCCAAACTCTTTGGTTTTTGCAAATGCAATCACTTCCATTTTTGCAACCCGCCCCACCCCCAGCCCATCCCCCTGCAAGATTTACAGAGTAGCAGCTGCTGCCGTCCCTCTGCACACAGACAGCTGACTTGCCTGCTGATTGTGAACATCCCAGTAATCCAAGTGCTAATGGTATTTATTTAGTCCAGCCGGCTTAGCCCTGAACAAGGTTTATTCTCATTTATCGCATCGGAGATGAGCTACGTCCTTAATATCCTTCTGTTGACTTTGAGCACACCAGCACCACTAATGTCACTTTGAGGCGTGCCAGGTCCCCGCCCTCTTAACTCACTCAGATCCCCAACTGTCAGGATACCTACCTTCCAGCCAGCAGGACTGGCCCCTCCAGGGGTGGGCTGCAGCTCTGGTCCGAAGTCCATAGGCTGGAGGAGGATGGGGCTGGCATACGTGATATGTGCTCGAGGCATCCGGGCTGAATCAAGCTGTGCTCTCAAGAATGTGGTCTGACTTCTTCATGTAGTAAACCTGCTGTAATTATCTTTTGGCCACAGTGCATTGGCTAGCACTGTGGCATTTTGGCATTCATTAACTATTCTGTCTTTAACACGGGTAGTCCTAGCTCTGCCTCATAGGTGAAAATTTGCCCAAGGTCATCAGCCATTGCTCATGAAATTCCCAGCAAGGGTCCTCCAGGCCCTGGCCCCTGCATGTCCAGAGGCCTCACTCTGAGCTGTTTTGGTAGTTGCCTCCCCCAGCCCCAGGCTGTGCACATTTAGAGCCCAAGGCGGAGCTGCCTGTGGAGAGAGGGTCTGTTTCTGGGAGCAGATTCTGCCCTTGGCAGGAGATTGCTCAGGAAACCCTCAGCTCTACTGGCCCTGCCTGGATGGACGGAGGAGCAGCTGGAGGCGCAGGCCTCATCTTCCCCCTCTTCCTCTGCTGTGTTTCTGCAACCCCTTCCCTGGGCAGCCCTAAAAGGCCATTTCACAGGGTGGCCTTTTAGGAAACTCCTGAAGCTGTGGGAACCCTGGGGTAAGGCCCGGAGTTCCCAGGGTCCCATGGGCACCTCGTTTAAGCTGATCATGTGAAGAGGCCAGGCAGGGCATGGACCCAGGGCTGCCAAGGCTGCGCACTGTCACAGCCCAGGTTTGGCCATGGTCCTGCCCTACCCACGGACCTGGCTGTGGGTGAAAACATGAATTTATTGCCTTATGAACCCGATTTCAGCAATTTACAAAAGGTCAGACTTCCTCTTTTCTCTCCGGTTTACTTATCCCATGTTGGAGCTTTCTTCTCTCCTACTGGAAATGGAGTGGGAAGAGCTGCCTGAGGGAGACAGAGTGGGTGGGACTGGCTGCTGCTGGCTTGGCTGTGGGTGGCTCCCGGCCCACATCAGCCTACCTTCTGAAGAAGGGACTTCTCTTTGCCCTGGTCCCAGTGCAGCAAGTGGAAGGGCTTTGGTGGCCCAGCCCTGGGTGATTAACTGGGGCTGCGATGATGGGGTGCTGTGATGAGCTTTGTGCTGTCTTTGGAGGGCCTTGTCTCTGCTGCTCCGAGGGCCCATGAGGGATGGGACTCCTTGGCAGTGCTCCCAAAGGCTGATGCGATGTCAGATCTCGCAGTCCCCCTTGGGGAGGCAGCATTTGAATTTTGTGTGAATCTCTCAGAGTGGTCATCTTCTCTTCCTGGACCCTCCTGTCATGGGTGAATGTTCCTTAGGCACATGATGGCAGAGACAGCCCTAATTAGCTCATGCTTTGATGAAACAGCTGCCTGTCTCAAGTTGGGGGGGGCAGGGGAGCAGCTCGGCTCCCAGGCCCCCCTGCAGCAGCTCCTGCCTCCCTGCCTATCTGGAGAGGAGCTGTCAGCCTCCCTTCCCCAGGGACTCTGGCCCATCTCCAGGCAGCTCTGCAGACACAGGGGTGGAGTTGCTGTGGGATGGGCTGGCACCCACCCTGTACTTCCTTTCTGGCTGAGAGGCTACAGAGTGACACGTGGTCCAAAGGAGCCTTTCCCTTTAGAAAACTGGCTCAGCGTGCTCTGTCTGCTCTGGACCTTGAAGCTTGTTCCTGGTCGGAATAAAAGCGGGGAGCTATCTTCATTCCATTCAGCCAGCTTTGGGGGCACGCCTGCTGTGTGTCGGGCCCTCTCCTGTACAGTGGCACAGTGTGTCTTTTCTGGGTTTAGGACCAGGAGCCAGCTCCTTCTGATTTGTCTTTGTTTCCTTATATCCTGGCTCACTGTCGAGGACCCTGTGAGGGCCCCCTGGCCAGGAGGGTTGGGAGTTAGGAGGAACAGGTGCTTTCTGGGTCTCCAGGAGCTTGTGGTCATGTTAAGGGCAGGCAGCCAGAGGCATGTAGTGGCTTTGGTAGACTGCAGTGTCCTTTGTGGGCTAGTTGGGTGGGTGTGACAGCCACCATCTGACTGCTGGCTTGGCCCCTTCACCTGCTGCTGGCCTCAAGCTTTTGTGTGCCCGTCCCCTCTCTTCTCTGGGCCTCACAAGTGGGCTGCTGAGAGGGAAGCCCTGACCTGCCCAAGGGCCTGACCATCCGGTCTCTGTGCTTACCACTTGCTCCTTAATTAATCGCTAATGCAATCTTGCAAGGAACCTGCAAAAGGGTATCCTGCTAGGGATCCCAGCCATGTCCCCTGCATGGCACCCTGTCCTGATGGGGGTCCCCGCCAGGCCCCTCATCCCTTCATGGTCCTGACTGTGGGAACCCTGGGGTAAGGCCCGGAGTTCCCAGGGTCCCATGGGCACCTCGTTTAAGCTGATCATGTGAAGAGGCCAGGCAGGGCATGGACCCAGGGCTACCAAGGCTGCCAGACCCCCTCGTCCCTGGGAGGTCTGGGCCTGAAATGTTTTAATCACATCATTATTTCTCTAGCCCAGAATGGGGAGAGGAGTTCCAGAGGCAGCTCAGGGTTTTGAGTACTTTAGTGCGGTGTGTTTCTCTGTTGATATGTTCATGGTTGTGTACACGTGTTCTTAGTTTGTTCGTTCGTTAGTTCGTTCGTTAGTTTGTTCGTTCGTTCATTCATCCATCCATCCATCCATCCATCCATCCATCCATCCATTCATTCATTCATTCATTCATTCATTCATTCCCTACTGTCCAGGACCTGTGACATGACAGGCTCTGTGCTGAGTGCTGAGAATACAGGGCAGAGAAGCTGACAGTAGCTGCTGTTATAGAGTGGGAGCCCAGTGGGAGGCATTGGGTGGTTCTGTTTTTGGATCTGCCTAGAGGCTCCTGTCTCTTGCACTTTCTTCCTGCCTTCTCCTACAAGCATTTTCTGTGTGCAGTCTGAGTGCTGACCCAGGAGAGGAGAGGGATGGGGCGCTGGTCTTCGGGCTGCAGACCCAGAGGGGAACAGACCCATTAGTAATTGCCCCAGTGTGTGATGTGCCTGGGGTCACGGAAGAAGGAACATCTGCCACTGGCTTGGGAAGCGCCAAGAAAGGCTTCCTACGGGAGGGACGCTGAAGGAGCACCTTTGGCATCAAAATGTCTTTGCAGTAGTAGAGGCGAGTCACCTTCCAGCCTACTCCAGCCCCTTGGCTGCTGGGGAGTGGGGGCTGGCATGGGAGCCCTCAGCCCTGTCACCTGTGCTGTGGGCCACTGTTCCCACATGGGTCTGTGCCAGATGGTCTTTGTTTCCCCAGCTGAGTTTGACTTGCCCTGCGTGGGAACCTCCATTGTTCTTGTTTCTGCCCAGGATGGCTGGCATGGGCTCAGTTCCCTGACCACCCGATCCCTGGGCTGGCCACGGTAGTCATGCTTTCCTGTGCTTCTTCCCCAGCAACCCCAAGGTCCAGGTGGAGGCCATTGAAGGGGGAGCCCTGCAGAAGCTTCTGGTCATCCTGGCCACGGAGCAGCCACTCACGGCAAAGAAGAAGGTGTGTTTCCATGCCCTTCCGCCTGCCTGGCCCCCAGGACACCTGTGGGGCCTGAAAGGAAAGGGTTCCTGTCCAGGCTATGCATGTTACCTTGGGGACCTGAGCGTCATCTGCTGGGTGGCATGGGGGAGAGGTTACACTAAACTAAAGCAGATGGCAGTGTGCCGAGGTGACTAGAGGCCTGTGGGCAGCTCCTGTGGTGTGCCCTTGGGCCCTACTCCTGGCCTCCCACCCTTGGTCTCTGTTTACCGCCCATTTACTCACTTGGTAATGTTGAAGGTGTCTGAGTCTCTACTGGCCTCACAGTCTTGGGTTCTAGGGTGTAGCTGTAACTGAGGTGTTAGGTGGGGCTGGGAGGAATGGGGACTAGGTTGGGGCACCTCTGTCTGCCTTCCCTGGACCTCAGGGCAGGTCCAGCTCACTTGGCCTCTCACCGGCCCCTGCGTCTCTGTCCCCAGGTCCTCTTTGCGCTGTGCTCCCTGCTGCGCCACTTCCCCTATGCCCAGAGGCAGTTCCTGAAGCTCGGGGGGCTGCAGGTTCTGAGGAGCCTGGTGCAGGAGAAGGGCACAGAGGTGCTGGCCGTGCGCGTGGTCACACTGCTCTACGACCTGGTCACGGAGAAGGTGAGTACCCAGGCCCACCCGGTCTCCTCGTTTGCTTTGTGTGTGCTTCTGGATGGATGGACAGACAGATGGAAGAGACTGGGGACATCAGGGAGGATGTTGTGTGAGATGTGGTGGCTTAGCTGAAACCTGAGGGCTGATGAGTGGGAGATGGCCTTGCCAGCCATGGTCACAGCCAAGTGTGCAGGCAGAGGACTCAGCATGAGCAAGCCCTGGAGCAGCCAGGACCGGGCCCCCAAGGGACAAAAGGCTGAGGGGGTGGAGCAGCCCGGAGCGCCTTCGAATGGCACTGACTCTTCGGATTCCACAAACTTGGAGGTGCCTCCTCTGGGAGCTTTGACTCTGGGCAGCGCCTCAGAGCGGCTGCCCTTGAGAGTCCCAGGGACCCAATTGCTTGCCACTTGGGAGGAGACTCGGTGCCCGGCCCTCTTTGCAAGCTTGAAGAAGCATCTTAATTAAGGAGGAGAGAGGAAAACCAGCCAGGCCTGGATTCTTAATTCAGCTGCTGCAGAGAGCATTGGCAGGGCTTCCTCAGTTGCCTCTCTAGGGCCACACATTCCCCAGAACAGCCGCATGCCGACTAGTGGAGCAGGGCTGGGCAGCCGCTGGAACTGCTGCCGAATGGCAGAGGCTGGGCCCTCCCCCCGCTCTGCACACGCCTCCCCCAGGCCTTCTCTCCCAGGCAGTGTCGGGATGGCTGTGGCTGCCTCTGTCTGTCACTCTCTCCCCAGCTCTCTGACTCTCTCTGCCTGTCTTATCTCTCGGTCTGTTTCTCTCTCTTCTCTTGTTCAAGCTGCAGAAATCCAGTTTCTTAGAACAGCAGGCAGCCATGTGGTGCTCAGATCCAATTAATAAGGCCCGGGCACAGTTCAGGTTCTGGGAGTGGGCCAGTGAGCCTGGAGAAGGACATGAAGGACATGTAGGCTGGCTGGGCATTTCCCAGGGAAACTGGGCTCTGTTCTCTGGTGTCTTGGGTGTGTGTCCCTGCTGTCCCCAGCCCTGGCATCCTGGGCACTATGGCACTGACCCATTGCTAGCACACTACCAGCAGGCAGGCTCGCCAAGGCTGCCCCGAGGCTGCCGGCCCTGGGAGCCTGCCTCTGGAAGCTTTGGGGTGCTGACATGATTGGGGAGGGAAGGACTGGCATCTCTCTACAAACAGTACGGAAATGGCCCCTTCTTTCAGGGCAGACAGCAGATGAGTTTCAGTCAGAGAGATTTAAGACTGACTGTACGTAGGCTGAGGCAGTCAGGGCTTCTCTGTTCTTGTGATTTCTTTTTTCTCTTTTTTTTTAGACAGGGTCGGTCTCTGTCACCCAGCGGCGTGATCTTGGCTCACTGCAACCTCTGCCTCCCAGACTCAAGTGATCCTCCCACCTCAGCCCCCTGAGTAGCTGTGACTACAGGCCCATGCCACCATGCCTGGCTAATTTTGTTCATTTTTTGTAAACAGGGTCTCACTATGTTGCTCAGGCTGGTCTTGAACTCCTGGGCTCAAGCAATCCTGCCTCAGCCTCCCAAAGTATTGGAATTACAGGCGTGAGTTACTAAGTCCAGCCTCTTGCAGCTCTTAAGAAAGAATGAAGACCTAGCCAAAGTAGGGGTGGGTCCAGAGCTGCCTGAAGGTGGAGGGACATGAGCTGTCCACCGCGATGGAGGGGCACCGTGCAGCTCAGGGGGATCGCCGCAGCACGTTGTCATGACAGCCGGGAACTGTGGAATTCCCATGGGCAATGTGACACCCCATCAGGGTGCTGGGGTCTGCCAGGCCCCAGGCAGTCCTCATATGTGCCTTGGCCTGTGACAGGACCTCTACTGAGAGACCATGCCCTGGCATCTGGGCTTCTGCAGCGGTGAGATGCCTGCCTGGGGTTTGGATTCCATGGCCTCTGGTGCATCTGAGGAGCTGAAGGGCCACAGGGGAACCCTGCCTGCCTGTGCTGCCTGCTGTGCCGGGTGCTGGGGAAATAGTCCGCAGTCCCTGCCGTCCCCGAGCTTTCAGGCAGAGGTTTATCAGAGAATTGCCCTGAGCGTGTGTTGTAGTCTGTCTGCTGCTGCTTTAACAGAATACCCTGGACTGGATCATGTATAAAGAAAAGGCAGTTTTGGCTCATGATTCACGAGGCTGGGAAATCCACGATTGGGTGGGTGCCTCTGGCGGGGGCCATTGTGCTGCATGGCGACATTGTGGAAGGTGGGAGGGCAACAGCACTTGTGGAAAAAAGCATACTGGGCCGGGCTTCTTTCTAGAATAACAGCCGCTCTCCCGTAAGGAACCCGCTGCCCTCCTGACCTAGGCAGCTCCTCTCAATACTGCTGCCGTGGGAATTAAGCTTCCAACACTTGAACTTCTAGGGAAACGCATTCAAACCACAGCAGCATGTGAGCGCAGCAGGCCAGTCGGGGGAGGCTGGCCAGTGGCGGTGAGGTGTGCAGGGAGCCGTGGAGTGAGTGGGGCCATGTGGGGGCGCACCTGGAAGTGGGAGCTGCGCCTCCAGAGGCCCCAGGGGAGAGTTAGAGTGACAGGAGTGGGTGTGAGTGGGTCCAGGCTGCGCACAATGGGGGCGGAGCCTGCAGAGCCTCGCAGTCCCAGGGAAGGGATTGATTTCGTCTTTATCACCCGCAATGCCAGGTTGTGAGGATTTGGGGGCTGGAGGAGAGGGGGAGAGCAGGAGGCAGTGGACTGCAGGACACGGGGGACGAAGGTGGAACTGACGGGATTGGGGTATGTTTTGGAGGCGAAGCTGGCAGGACTGAGGGGTGGAGTAGGAAAGAACCAGGGGGTCCCTCTCAGCCTTTGCTGTCCCAGGATGCAGGATCACACACCTCCTCAGCTTCCTCTGCCAGCCCCAATCAGCCCCACGGCTTCCTGCTACCGCAGGAAGCACCAGGTGGTCCACTGTGGCCTTGTCTTCTCCTGGGCTTCCATCTTGCCTTGTGTATCTTCCCTGTGCTTCATTCTCCCCTGGAGTTAGGGCAGGCATTCCTCCTTTCTCGACACAGGCACACTTTGTACAGCTGCATGGGAAATCTCCGCCCCGTCCCAACCCTCCCAACCCTCTACCTCTGACCTTCAGGTGACCTGCCTGCTTGTCAGGGTTCAGGTGTTGCCTTTCCGGCTGCTGGCTGCCACTATCTTCTGCTGATGAAGCTGGGCTTCTGCACTTTACAGACAGGCTGAGTTTCTCCACTTAAGAGGTGATGGCATTGGGTCTCAGGGAGGCTGAATGCTGGCCATGGTCATTCAGCAAGTCAGTGGTGGAGCAGGAATTTGAAGCCAGCCTGTCTGCCTCCATGCTGCATTGTTAGATTACCTTTATCATGCTATTTGGGAATTAGTTAATTTTCATTCTCCTGCTAGACCCTAAGCTCCTTGAGGGCAAGACTGTATCTCCATCGTGGTTTCTCCAGCACCTGCCACCACACAGGTGTTTCTGTTGGTAGATGAATGAATGGATAGACAGACAGACTTGGGGATGGAGGAAGAGGTGGGCCCTCAGGGGTCAGCCTTGTGCCTTCGTGTCTGAAGGGCAGAGCTGGCCAGGTGTGAGCTAACTGCTCCCCATGTGTTCTGTCCCCACCCCCACCCTACCTGGCCCACGGCTGTGGCGGATGGATGGCAGATGTTCGCCGAGGAGGAGGCTGAGCTGACCCAGGAGACGTCTCCAGAGAAGCTGCAGCAGTATCGCCAGGTACACCTTCTGCCAGGCCTGCGGGAACAGGGCTGGTGCGAGATCACGGCCCACCTCCTGGCGCTGCCTGAGCATGACGCCCGTGAAAAGGTGCTGCAGACACTGGGTGTCCTCCTGGCCACCTGCCGGGACCACTACCGTCAGGACCCCCAGCTCAGCAGGACACTGGCCAGCCTGCAGGTTGAATACCAGGCGCTGGCCAGCCTGGAGCTGCAGGACGGTGAGGACGAGGGCTACTTCCGGGAGCTGCTGGGCTCTGTCAACAGCTTGCTGAAGGAGCTGAGATGAGGCCCCACACCAGGACTGGACTGGGACGCTGCTAGTGAGGCTGAGGAGTGCCAGCGTGGGTGGGCTCTTCAGGCAGGAGGACATCTTGGCAGTGCTGGCTTGGCCATTAAATGGAAACCTGAAGGCCATCCTCTGTCTGCTGTGTGTCTGTGTAGACTGGGCACAGCCCTGTGGCCAGGGGGTCAGGTGAGTTGTTGGGTGATGGGCCCTGGTGACGTGCAGGGGTCAGCTTAGGGCATCCAGGAACAGGCTCCAGGGCAGGGGCCTGGGCCCAGGAGTTGCAAGTCTCTGCTTCTTACCAAGCAGCAGCTCTGTGACCTTGGTTAGTTGCTTAATTGCTCTGAGCTTGTTTCGTCATCTGTCAGAAGAAGTGCCATTAAAGGAGAAAAATCACGTGGAAAGCGCCACACTAGTGCTGGCACGCCCCAGCTGTGAGGCAAGGCGGGGAATCATTTCACTGCCCCTCTACCGGTGCCCATATAACAGCTTTGAGGTCGCTGACCTGGCCGGAGCCCAAGGCCTCTCTGTACACAGGGGTGCTGTGGTGGCCCAGGCAGCTCACGGGCTTGACGGCTACTGAAGTGATGGGTGCTGGAGCAGCGGATGCCGGGGTGGGGTGCTGAGAGGTGCTGGACTCTGGAGGCCAAGGGGCCGGGCCTGACTCTGGGAGAAAGCTGGCAGTGGGAGCCCAGGCCTGCCTGGCCCACCTGACAGGGCAGAGGTGCCTCTCTGTGGCCTTGCCCCACTCCTGTATCCAAGCAGAAGCAGGGCCAAGCCCAAGGAGGGGGCCTCAGAGGTGGGAGCAGCTGTGCCTGGCGAGTCCCGGCCCCCACCCAGGCTGGCGGAGTGCTGGGCTGGAGCTGGCTGCAGGTTGCCATGGCAACCCGGGTTCTGGGCTTTTCAGACTCTGATTCTGGTGTGTTTGTTTCTCAGCTTTTCCCAGTGCGCCAGAGGCTGGCTCCTGCGGGCCCAGGCAGCCCCTCCGGGCTCCAGGTGGTAAAGTCCAGAGGGCCAGTTTGGGGCAGGACTCTCCTCTCCCTGGCTCTAGGCCTCGCTTGTAGAAATCTCAGTTTTACTGAGCTGGGGGCACACTGAGGCCCAGAAAAACATGGGGTCAGCAGTTGGCCTTCCCTGCAGTCCCTTTGCTTGGCCACCTGGCTCTTCTCCTCAGCCCTTCTCCTGCTCACCTCTTGCTGCAACACGACACCTAGAAAGCTCAGAGCAGAGCCATGGCCTGCACGGAGCCCCTCCCAGCAGGGCAGGCAGGAGGCAGGAGCCCAGGCTGAGGCTGGAGTAACAGCTTCCCCAGGGCACTAGGCCTCGCGGCTCGGGCAGAGTGGGGATCAGACTTGCAGTGTGCCAGCCGTTGGGTACCTGCTGCCTTTACAGCCTTGCAGGAGCCTTCAAAGTAGATTTTACAGATGAGGAAATCATGGTTCAGAGAGGCCAAGTGATCTGCCTGTGGGGCAGTGGTGGGCTTGCGGTGCTGATGGTGCTGTGGGAGGCTTGAACAGGAGGCTGAGAAGGGGACGATGTTGAATTGACGGGTAGCAGAGGGAGGACCAGGAAAAGTGTCCGGGCATGTGTGGCCACAACAGGGCAGGCAGGGTTCAGACAGGAGGTGCCAGCCTCTGGATGAGGCCAGGGTCAAGGGGTGCTTTAGAGGTAGTGTCGCAGGCTCTGGGGTGGACTTGAGAAGGGGCAAGGTGAGGTTTGATGGGGAGAGGGGCTGCCTCAGCAGAGGCTAGAAGAGAGGAGGACTTGGGGCTGGGCTGGGGATGAATCTGTTCTGGGCTTTCAGTGTTCAGAGGCAAGCGCCAAGGCTGGGCCGTGGGAACAGTGGACAGGCGAGAGTATGGGGCCTTGTGGGAAGGCCAGGCCGGGCGCTGGGCTGTGTCAGGACCAGGCTGGCCCTGAGGCCTCTGTGACCACCAGGGTCTGGCCCGGGGTGTGGAAAGGGTCCCTATGGGAGGAGTGCCACTAGTAGGGGCCTAACTGCAGGCCCCAGTGTCCCCTCTGCTCCCAAGTGTGCTGCCCTCAGCAACGATTCTGTAAAGCAGAGGGAGGCTTTGGGCCAGGTGCTCTTGAGGGGATTTCTGGGAGCGAGAGGAAATGGGCACCTGGGGGCTGCAGGGAGGGAGCTGGCTGGGGAGGTGGGACTGCATGTGCTCTGCCCTCATACACTCAGAGCATCGGAATGGGAGTTGGGGCTGCAGTCTCTCTTCTCTTTGGCCTCATCCAGGTTCATTCTGGACTGTTAAGCAGATCCTCCAGGGAGAGGGTGGCGAGGCACCCCAGGGTCTGGGCTTGGGCTGTTTCGGGGTGGGTTCTGGCTCCACCTCCTAATTAATCACTGCCTGTTGTCTGTAGGTCAGAAAGGAACATCTTCTCTGCCTTTCCTTTGGGTGCCATCCTGGGAACTGTGGTCAAGGAGGGTGACCAGGGCTCGAAGTGAGGCAGGGAATGGCGATGGGGGAGGCGGGACTTCCTCCTGCAGGCTGGAGCCTGCTTTCCTGTCCTCCCTGTCTTGGGATGGGCTGAGGGCTGTGCCGGGCTGACACCCACAGGCCCTGAGTGATTACTGGGTCCCTGCTCCTGGGCTGGGCTGACCCAGGCTCTAGTGTGGGAGGATGGCAGGGAGGGTGGCGGGCCTGGGTCCTCACCCTATCCCTCAGCAGCTGTGGTGTTCTGAGTTCACCTGTCTGTTCATTCTTTCTTTCACACTGTGGCTGTTGAGCAGTTGTGTGTGTCAGGCAGTTGGAGCTGAGAAGGCTGCTGAGCTGGCTGAGGCTAGGGAAGGCCTCCCAGAGCTGGTGACGGCCAGGCTGAGCCCTGCAGGCTGCGGGAGTAGCAGTCAGGGATGGGCAGTCTGGAGGGCCAGTCGGGGGCAGGCAGGGTGAGGGCTCCAGCCCTGGGAAGATACAGGAAGACCAGAGAGAGTGGCCATTTGCAGCACCCACAATTTTGGGTCCTCTAGCAGCTTGTGAGCCCTGCCAAGGGCTGTGCCCTCATCCTAGCAGGCGTTCTCTGGGCTGCTGCTCATTCATTGATTTGTTCAACAAATCTGGTTGGGTACTACGAGCCAGGCACTGTTCTAGGGCAGGAAGTGGTAGGACAGGAGGGGAGAGGGCCAGACCATGACAAATGCACATGCTCCAGGGGAGGGCCAGGCAGGGAAGACAGAGCCCAGTAGGGAGGGAAGAGGGGCAGGCACTGCTGTTTCCCCTCAGTGGTGGGGAAGGCCTCTGAGGAGGGGCCAGGCACAGGAGCGCAGCAGTGAGCCGTGGGGGTGCTTTGCAGACAAGGGGATAGCAGAGGACAGGCCGAAGCACTTCAGGAAAAGCCACGAGAACCAGACCTGGAGCAGGCAGAGCCCGAGGGAGGAGTTGCAAGGGAGTGCCACCTGGGGAGGCCGTGGAAGGGACCTGGGTTTTTTTTAAGGTGGGGCTGTTGAGAGTTGGGTGCAGAGGAGAGACCTGATGTAACCCACCTTTTTTGTTGTTGTTTTCTTTTTTTTTTTTTGGAGACAGGGTCTTGTTCTGTCACCCAGGCTAGAATGCAGTGGTGTGACCACAGCTCACTGCAGCCTTGACCTCTTAGGCTCAAGTGACCCTCCCACCTCAGCCTCCAAAGTAGCTGGGACCACAGGTGCACGCTGCCACGCCTGGCTAATTGTTTTTGTATTTTGTAGATGTCTCCCTATGTGTTCCAGGCATGTCTTGAGCTCCTGGGCTCAAGCGATCCTGCTGCCTCAGCCCTCCAAAGTTCTGGGATTACAGGTGTGAGCCCCTGTGCCCGGCCTCACCTTTTCTTATAGTTGTGTTGAGAATAGATGACACAGGGGCCAGGAGGGGCAGGGAGCCCAGGGCAGCATGCAGGGGGCGGCTGGACAAGGATGTGGGGCAAGGTGAAGACCGAGGACTGTGAGAAGTGTGCAGAGTCCAGATGGGGCTGAGGCAGAGCTCAGGGGCTCTGCTGCTGGGATGCGGGGTGTGGGGAGAGGAGTCGAGGAGGCAGCCTCACGTGGGGATGGAGCAGATGGGTGTGGGGAGGAGCTGGCACCAGAGTGGGAGGCTCGGAGAGCAGGGGAGCGACTGGGGCTCTGAGGTGGACCCCATTTATGTTTATACGGAGATGTCAGCGGGACATCTAGGTGGGAGTGCTGACAGGCAGCAGCAGACAGCCTGGAACTGAGAGAGAGGCTGGGCTGGGGGCACTGACCAGGCCTGGGAACCTCACACAAGGAAGCCGCGGGGTTCAGAATGTGGCCAGCTGGATGTTAAACACAGCCATTATTAAAATTAAATGATGCAAGCGTACAATTAAGTAACAAGAAAGCAAAGGTAATTTTTAAAAACTAGTAAAAGAAGAGCAAATTAAAACCAAAGGAAGCAGAAGGAAAGGAAATAATAAAGAGTGGAAACCAATAAAATTGAAGACAGTAAAATTAGAGAAAATCAATGAAATTAAAAGATGGTCCTTTGAAAAAGAAGACGCAAATCAGCAGCCTCACGGATGAAAAGCGGGTGTCGCTGTAGGCTCTACGAGCATTAAAATATGGTGAGTAGTGAGTATTACGAACAACTCTAAATAAATACATTGTAAAATCAATTTGACAACTTAGAAGAAATCATGGACCAATTCCTTGAGAAACACAGCCTCTCACTGTATTAGCTTTCTGTTGCTGCTATGCTAACAAATTACCATGAGCTTCGTGCCTTAAAATATTCCCAGTCAATTTTCTTACAGTGCTGTAGGTTAGAAGTCTGGCCCAGTTCTCATGGGGCAAAAATCCAGGTGTTGCAGGGCTGTACTCCTTTCTGGGTGGGGTCCATCCCTTGCCTTTCCAGCTACTGGGGGCTGCCTATGCTCCTTGGCTCCTAGACCTTCCTCTGTCTTCAAAGCCAAAAAAGCAAGTCAAGGTCTTCTCATAATGCACCATTCTGACCTCCTCTTCTGCCTCCATCATCCACTCTTAAGGACCCTGTGATTACAGTGGGCCCACCTGGATGATCCAGGATAATCTTCCTGTCTGAAAATCAGCCAATTAGCAACCTCAGTTCCATCTGCAACCTGGATTCGCTTTCTGCCATGTAACATAACACATGCGCAGGCCCAGGGATTAGGAGTGGG